GAGGAACACTTTGCCTTGTTATTTGAAAACAAGAAACTTACTACCATGTAGTGTCGGTGTAAAAACATGGGGTCAATAATAGAGACAACTACTATCAGTGAAAAAAAAAAAAAAAACAAAAAAACAATCAAAGACAAAACAAGAATAAGCGTAACTGTCAGTTTTACGTTCGTCAATCTTCCGCTACGTCGTATACTTAAAATGTTACTTTTATATAACATACAAGCACAGAAGAGTTCAGAAACATTTAGTCAGGAGGTAAGTATTTGTTATAGTCCGGTTCCTTGTACCACGGTGATAGCTCAAGGTAGAACCAATAAAGAAGAACTCGAACACAGGTATGGAATAACACAGACATATTACAAACAGGAATATGTACAGAGAAGTAGAAGTGTTAGTATGAACAATCAGGTTTAGTAGAGAGAACAATGTAGTCTCGACCAGTATCACTATTCCAATGTCTTGCAGTAATTGTCTGAACGCGACTCTGTTTCGGACTGCCTCTGACTCGACTCTTGACTCGACTTGAACTACTGACTGACTTGAACGACTCCTTGCCTACTCCTGAGGCGCAGTATTTATTAAGTATGGAATAGTCCATTATTATTATTATGGGTAAATACATAACAGTATTATAGCAGATGCCTATTCTCATGTCTTCACTTAGAAAGTAATTCAGTTTTTTTGTTGTTGTTTTTTTTTTTTTTTTTTTTGTACAGTTGCCTCTCCTGTTTGGTGGTTGAGGCGGGAATTTTAAAATTAATGTATCTTACAGGACCAGGATACTATATTAATAAAGCTTCTTTTTTTTTACTGGGATTCGATAGGCCATTTGCGAGAATTGAAAGACAATAGCGAAATGGAAAAGTTTAAAGTAAACCATATGCATGCAAGGCCGTATCTAAAATCTATTGATTGGAAGAAACGTTCTACAGAATAATGTACGCCGACCTCATGAAAGTTCTTCTCAATATATTCTACAACTTCTCTGACCGACACATGGATTCCAAAATCTGAACCCCATCGAACATGTATAGGACATGATGGGACAACACCTAACGCGTTCAGTTAGCTCACCTATAACTTTAGTTGCATTGCCGGAACAGGGTCAAGTGGCATAAAATTAGATACCATCTGTACATTCAGATGCATGCATGATTACAAAGTTGTGTTAGCGCCCAACGATGATACGAAGTGTATGGGACTTGAATACGATTAAACATACCTATTATTTTGAAACCTCTATAGGTATTGATCTAATCTATATATAAACTATCTATGACTTGAAATGTGTGTTCAGGGCGTTTATTTTTCATCGGTTCTATATATGAAGTCCTATATAAGTCCTGGGTATTGACTTTAACGGCCACTTTTATATTTACATACGCTCTATCCCAGATATTGAGCACTTTATCCCATAAATATAGCACACCTTAAAACAATATATATATATATATATATATATATATATATATATATATATATATATATAAGGTGTATTTCAGCACCAATACTTCTTCCAGACATGTTTGGTTAAATAATATGGAGAAGTACTGTGTATCAATTTTTTTTTTATTAAATTTTTCAACTTTCCGATTTATTTGTTTTATGTTATGTTTTATGTTTATCGGTAAATTTATCAAATTTATATTTAATTTTATTTTATATTATATTTTCCCGAGTACTTTCAAATGTTACTATATTTCGCTTCAAGTATTATTCTGTGTATATTTATTCAACTGTTTTTTGTTTTTTTTTCATTTCGGCGTTATTACGTTTGATGGAATCAACTTCAAGTCACTCAAGGTGACATCAAACTGAATTGTGTGTTTGTGCGTGTGTGTGTTCGTGCGCACGCGCGTGTGTATGTGTGTGTTTTCAAACACACTTCAATATACGGCCACCTATGGAGAAAGCTATCTTATTCAATGTTGGCCACTTCTCTTTTACTACAGTAGCCTCCAGAATTTGGAATCTTTCTTTGCCCTGTGCCCTGTATTAAAGTTTGGTTTTATCTACTAAAATTTATCTTATTTTAATACTGTTTTCCTTATTTGTCAAATGTTCATCTATATTTGCGCGAATTGCACTAAATTTCGACAAATACACACACACACACATACATATATATATATATATATATATATATATATATATATATATATATTCTGTATCCGTTATTTTTATAGATATAATTTGTTTAAGTAAATGCTCTGTTTTTTTAATTAGACGGTATCAAATACATTTACCGGTCTGAATTAATAACGTATAAACAGAAAATATATAAATAATTGTCGGACTTAATCGATATATATATATATATATATATATATATATATATATATATATATATATATATATATATATATATATATATAAAAGTCGACACTGAAATGATTGTTTTTAGGATACGAGCCTGAGAAAAACTTGCGTTTATAAAGAACTATTCAACTTTGTTTGATCATAGATGCACTTTGTGTCCGAAACGGTTTAAATTACG